TATAAGTAAAGATCATTTGTTTAAACAAAGTTGGTAGCCCTTTATCCCAGCATGTTACTGGCCAAATATCATTATCCTAGGCTTTTTGGTTATTCAGAAGAAGTTGTTTAAAGGTTTTAAACATATTTGACCCCTGTGACCTTGAAAATGAGTGAAGGTCATTTATTTGAACAAACTTGGTAGCCCTCTATTACAGCATGCTACTGGTCAAATAGCATCATCCTTGGCCTTTTGGTTATTGAGAAAAGGTTGTTTAAAGGTTTTAAACATATTGGACCCCTGTGACCTTTAATATAAGTAAAGGTCATTTATTTTAACAAAACTTAGTAGCCCTTTATCCTAGCATGTTACTGCCTAGATATCATTATCCTAGGCCTCTAAGTTATTCAGAAGAAGTTGTTTAAAGATTTTTTAAGACAATTGACCCCTGTGACCTTGAAAATGGGTGAAGGTCATTTATTTGAACAAACTTGGTAGCCCTTCATTCCAGCATGCTACTGGCCAAATATCATCACCCTGGGAATTTTGGTTATTCAGAAGAAGTTGTTTAAAGTTTTTAACATATTTGACCCCTGTGACCTTGAAAATAGATGAAGGTCATTTATTTGAACAAATTTTGTAGCCCTTCATCCAAGTTTGCTTCTGGCCAAATATCATCACCCTAGGCCTTTCGGTTATTTAGAAGAAGTCGTTTAAAGTAAAATATTGACGCCGGACGCCGGACGGACGCCGGACAGACGACGGCTGCTGCACCACGGCATAAGCTCATTTGGCACTTCGTGCCAGGTGAGCTAAAAATTGGGCGAGTAAAAATTTGAAGCACTGGCCATGGCCCAAATAACATATTGGTGGCCCAAATAATTTTGGGAAGAAATATTTCCACAGCATTTAACACAATGCTTCAGCACATTTAAATTACATATAAGATCACAATGTTTGTAATATGTAAAATAGAATAAAACATTCTATTTTTAATTCTTCAACCCTAGTTAAAACCTGACATGTTTCGCAAATAAATTTTTCGAAAATATACACAATATAATATAATAAAAATATGAAAAAAAAAGCACTGAACATAATAATTAACGCACTACAGCACAAGACCGACTTCCGTTATCGTCGGTATCGACGAAGGAAGTTTAATAGATGAAGATGAAGATGAAGTCGCCCAAACTATTTTTGTTTGGCCAGTGACTACCTCACTTTTGACAACTTTTGGTCGCCCGAGCAAGACTTTAATCGCCATTGGCTAGCGGGCGACCGTCCATTTCAGGCACTGCAGTGCACAACAATGGAACAAGGGGAACCTACATATAAAATTTGAGAAAGATCCCTCTGGTACTTCCTAAGAAATAGCCATAACAAACTTTCTCTGTCAAAATCCAAGATGGCTGCCTGCCGGCCATGTTGTTTATCCGATTCAGTCTCAATAGTTGCCCTGCACAACAAGGGGCCAAGGGAAACCTACATATAAAATTTGAGAAAGATCCCTCGGTACTTCTTGAGAAATACTGATAACAAGAATTGTTTACGGACGGACGACGGACGATGGAACACGGACACAGTGTTATTTGAATAGCCCAATCTGATGGTGGGCTAAAAAGGGAGGTCTTGCTACGAATGGACTGATTAGGAACAAAAGTATTAGTGGTGATTGGATGAATGGCGGTCAGCTGTATGTAATATATTTTTTAACTATTTTAAATCAACCTTGAGCACTTAATTAATTTTTAACCTCGGATAAATATACCGTTCTGTCACACATGTATAGCGACATAGCTTAGAACTGTTGAACTACTAGTAATCAACCGTTTGTCATCCTCGAAACTCCAGGGGTTCCTCGCGATCGATACTCCAGGAGTTTACGCTCACTTTTGCTTTATGCACCCCTGGAATATGTCATGGCAAAATTGAAGGCTAGCTGTTTGATCGATCTCGGGTAAAATAAACTGACCAATCGCTAGGCTGATACCTATCCTTGGAAGATTACAAAGTAGCGACACCTGACTTCAAAGCAAGCAAATGATTCTTTTTGATCAACAGATCAAATTAGTCTTCTCGTCTCATCAACAAGGTGGTGCAAACTGAGTCTTCATTTTTGCTATAACATATTCTGGGGATGCAGAGAGCGAAAGTAAGAATAAACCTTGGGAGTATCGAGGACGACCGTTTGTGAAAGTGTTAAGAATTGAAAACTGATAAATCTCATGGGTATGAGGTACCGATAGATTAAGCAAATAATGTATTATCAATGTACATGATCTAAATAAAAATGTGGCTTGTTTTCAATGTTTTGTTTGTTTGTATGGGGTTTAACTGCCTTACACAGCCAGGTTCAAATGATAACGAGTACCTAGAAACACACCATTGAAAAGAGAGAGTATTAAAGTCAGAAAGGAAACGATATAGATCAAGTTTGGTTCAATTCAATGTTCCTTAAGCAGAAAATAGGGATGAAACCCGTGACTCTGCAGGGGGTCCCACATATTTGCCTCTTACAGGATGTAGTGGGATACAGTAGGGTTTGGTTGTTGTAACATTGAGTCCTGTATGATTGATTGTTACCTACATCACTATAAATACACACTAAACCATTTTGAATGTCACCAAAGAAATTTTACCAGGAAAACATAGCAAGTCGCTCAATAGTGTCCTGTCAAGACTATTATCTATGGCTTGGTAAACTGATTGGCTGACAGGAGCGTCCAACAACCAAGTGTTTTTTACAATTGCCTTTCAAAAATTAATTGGTTGACAGCACTTCAAAACAGCTAGGAATTGAGGAAACTAATGGTACAGATAATGTCACATAATGTTTGTTTTTTATTGATCAGGTAACAAAACAGTTGCTTCATTTATTTACAGTCAACAGCCAAATCCATTCCTCTAAGGTTTTGGGACAAATGGGATGAACTCTTTTGCGAAGCTGCTGGACGAGGGAACCAGTTCAACTGGTGGGTCCTAACAACTTGACTGATTTATGCTTAATCATATCTAGGGACTGATTGCTATTATTTCACTGTAAATGTATACATATTTCCACCCTCCCCCCGTTTTTGTGAACAAAAACATATGTCTCCCCTTATTAGCCAATAGAAAAACCCCGGTATAAAAAATTAACAAAGGGCCATATCGCTATATATAGTGGGGCACCAGACCCGAATTAATAATTTGACACTCCTACTTACCCAAGATACATTAATACTTTAGCAACTTTGGTCAACGTAGGTGAAACTAGAACACTGACAGGTCAGTACATGTAAGGGCCCCGTCTTGTGGCAATATATCCCCCATAATCGTCAAGAAGCAATCTGCCCATATAGCTGAGCTTGACGTTTGATATTTGGACTTCAAAAATTATCGCAGGAAGCAAAAGATACATTTTACATGTACTATGATGCTAGTCTTGTTTCCTTCCACTTCCATATTTGCTGGGCTAACAGAAATGTAAATACCAGTGCAATACTCATTTGTTAGCTTTGATTTGTTTTATTTCACCTTAAATACCTTCCCCATCAAGAGCCAGGGTCAAAGTAAGAGATCCACTTTGTCTTTGACCTTTGGACCCAAATGACCTTGACCTTTAACCCAGTGACCCTGATCTTTGGTCAGTTGACTCATTCTTCAATTCCGACCAACTTTGCATCATAATGACAAAATGTTCATCAGTGAAAAATACAAAACTTGACCTTGACCTTGAACCTTTGGAACCCGTAACCTTGACCTTTGGTCAGTTGACTCTGTGTTAAGTTCTGAACAACTTTGCTTCGCATACAAAAAATGTTCATCAGTAAAAAAGACACAATATCTGACCTTGAAATTGATCCAGTGACCTTGACCTTAAGTCAGTTGACTCCTTGCTAAATTCCAACCAACTTTGTTTCATAATGTCATAACAAAATGTTCATCAGGGAAAAGATACAAAATTTTACCTTGACCTTTGACCCAGTGACCTTGACCTTTGGTCAGTTGATACCTTCAATGATTGTGACGGACGGACGGATGAATTAGTATAGGGCACCCGCATCTTTGATGCGGGGCCCTCATAACATGGAAAATATGGTGTGGACAAACTTCGGTATTGAAATTAAACAAAGGGCCATAACTCTGTATATAGTGACGCACGAGACCTAATTCCAGTGCACTGCACTTCTTCTGTGAGTGATGCAGGTATACTTTTAATTAAGATATCTTTAATGGTTTAGACGTTATGAAGTGGACAAACTTCGGTATTAAAAATAAACAAAGGGCCATAACTCTGTATCTAGTGGGGCATAAAATCTGATTTAAGTGTGAGAAATTCCGCCTTCCCAGGATACATCCATATGGTAAGTATGGTCAACGTAGGTGAAATAACATAGAACTTATGCTCTGGACAAACTTCGGTATTAAAATTATACAAAGGGCCATAACTCTGTATATAGTAGGGCACGAGACCTAGTATTAGTGCACTGCACACTTTCTGTGGGTGATACAGGTATACTTCAAATTTGAATAAGATATCTTTAACGGTTTGAAATGTACAGGCTGGACAAGAATTTACTGAAAATGTGCACTTATTTGACCTTTGAACTTGAGGTGAGGTCACAGTGACCCAATTCCAGTGCTCTGCACACCTCCTGTGGGTGATGCATGCATACCTAAAGTTTCATCAAGATATCTTTAAGGGTTTAAAAGTTATGGCACAGACAAGTCAGATTAGAAGAACCAGAAGAACCAGTACTAATACAAAATGTCTCCCTTCATTCGAAGGGGAGACATAACTATTACTTCACACTTAAGATCTATAGAAGTTCAAAATTTTATAACAATTTCAGATTACAAAGGTATTTATACAACCACAGATAATAATTTGTGAACCGCTTTAAGACGACCTACAAACTAGGCTGTGATAAAGCGGTATAAAAGAGTCTAAAATTATTATTATTATCATTAATTAAAAGAAACCAAGATGACAAAACAATGACAGAACAATAACAAATCAAGATAGACACAATTATTTATTTACATGTTGTTTTCAAACCCTCAACTAATTTTCTGAGGCTGAAGTAATACTGTGAAGGTTTTAAAAACACATCATCGTCCTGGTCCTCCCCTTCCCTAATCCTTGCCTCCTCTTTCTGTGAGCAGGTTGGAGGGGAGGAGCCCAAACGTGCATGAGTACAGGCAGGCAAACTTGTAATAATCACATCTGTTCTCTCTGACAATGTTTCGACCATGTGTGAGTCAGTGCCTGCACATGGCATGTCAAAACCTGAATTGCAGTTTGTATCACCAAGAGAATTGCTCCACATTTTGCTAACACAACTGTGACCAGCACAAGTAGCTATACTTGACCTTTCTGGAATTCTGATGCTGTGAACTTCTGAAGATCCAAGGTCAAAAGTCAAGGATGCAGCACTGTTCATCACCTTATGACCTTTGTTGATTACCATACAATATTCTCTATTTCCAGATCGAGTTACCACTGGCTCAGCCTTACACTGGTCTTCCATTTTCTGAATAAGTTTCTTAGATTTTTCCACAAATAAACTTCTACAAGCTTCTGAGTATTTTCCATCTGCTGAAAGCTGTTTAATTGTCTCCCTTGAGTGGACAATTTCTTCCCTTTGAAGTAGGAGATCTAAATGATTGGAGTCGAAACACCTGAATGGACATCCACCTTGCTCCCCAAACCCAGAGGCTGCATTCTGTGAAACAAAGTTACTTATAAACATTAGGTAAATAACTATAATAAAATACTAAAGCAACAGTTAACATCGAAGTAAATTCATATAGGATTTAATACACAGGGAGTGGAAATAATCACTAAAGCTGTTTAATCCTGTCAACATAAATATGCTAGGGAGGTACTTAGAAACTCCCTGTATATGTTTTTTTTTATATATAGAGAGAACATGTATAATTCTAAATCATTGCCTACATAAAAAATTCCACACTGCAATTAGTTAAAAAAGGCTTAACGCAGCGTGAACATTTTTGTATGCGAACATTTCCATTTTTACAGTTAGTCAAATTCAGCATCTTCACCAATCACTCACAAGAGCAGCCCAAGGTCGTGCCTGATGCAAGTAAAATCCACGCAACAATTAGTTTTACCAAAATATGGACAAATCAATTCTTCCAAACTTAACCATCTGTATGAACGGTCACAAAGACACGCAGAGGCACATAAAGTTTCTCTATTGCCCATCAATTTTATTGAGCAGGATAAAATAAAATGTTAAAATAACTGTACCATACCCAAATCATTTGGAGATGGCTTACACACGCTTTGCCTGATACCAAATCCATTAGCTTCTTTTTGCGATAAAATTTGTTGAAATCAAATAATGAAAAGTTCCTATCGTCTTCAGTATTTAATTGATTTACCTGTAGCGTTGTGCAGCAGTGTCCTCTGTAGTTGGTACAGGCGCCCTCTAGTCCATACAGATGTCGGATATTGTAGGTGTATCGTCTACCATCCTGCTGCCAGCTGTGGGAGCAATTATCGTTAGCGTTCGTAGGTTTCAAGTATTCTTTTCTCCAAAACATCAGTGCTTCATGAACTGGCATACCATTTTCTTTCAAGAAGAGGGTGTACTGTATCTGTCATTAAAGAAAAAGATATCTTGGATGCCAAATAAAACTACTATTTACACAATAAGAAATTTGTGCCTCAGCAGTCACGTTTTTGTTATAAGGCATGCAGGCATAACTTGGCAGATTTTTTCTTTAATTTTCTTTAATTCAGTTGATAGTAAATTACATTATCAGAACTGCAACTGTTAATGCATCCATTTTGATATACAACACTGTACTCTTTGTAGTACATTGTGTACATGCATACCAAGTTTCATCAATATTGAATGATATTCAAGCAAATTATCTAGCAGAAAACAAAGTGTGGATGGCAGATAGATGGTTGCACGGACACACCTTATACCATAATGCATGTATGTCCTGACAAAATTTTTGACAGGTGTATCAAAAATGAAGTTTTAAATTCCGTTGATTTTGTTGGTAATCTCATTCTGTATCCAGGTTTTCATAGGTCAATAAAGTAATTACAAGTTTGATATAAAGCAATTCTCCGTTGTGTACTCGTAATCCACAAATACATGTACCCACGAAATGGTGTTTTGCCGGGGTAACCCTGAAATTTGGGCCCCACGAAAATATTGGATTTCACAGTATATAGTATATAACCAACTTCTGTTCATATCAACATAAATGTCATAAGGATGAAAGAAACTGAACACCATGACCCGTAAAATCCATGAAACCATTCTCATGCTTAAGCATGGATTCTAGGCTCAAACAAGTTTTCTTGTAAATCATTTAAATCATGTCAAACGATCAAAAAGTCAAATGTAAACATTGAAATCAGTATTTGGCTTGAAGATTTTATAGAAATTTTCCAAATCACTGACAAAATAAGATTTTTTTGTTAATTTATAACCTGTACAAAATATTACGCTTGAGCACAAAATCTTTACTTGAACTCGAGAACAACATCATGAATATGGACGCAGATCTCTCAGCTGTGCTCCATATCCTCTATAGCAATGTCCCCACATGAACACCATCATGTAACAGGTGGGATGATACCTACTCTGGCATGGTGTTGAAGTCTGTGCCTTGTTGTCAGGATGTGGTGGACATGTGACATGCAAGGAGGGAATAAGGTCATGACCTCAGGCACTTGATCATGTGACAGGTTTGCATCAATTTGAGGACCATCTTCAAATATGCCATGGTGTTTTCTGAATAACGCCTGAATGAAAAAAACACCATACCTATTTTCTTAGTAAAAATATCATTGCATTTTTTATAGCGAGAAACCTACAATATCAATATGTCTATTGTTTTCATAAAAATTCACAGCATGAAACTTTTTTCTTATTTTTCACTCAGTACATTAACTGCTTCATTTACTCATCTGTTAAAAACCACAAGAATAATGTGTTAACACTTTCACTGCCTAGATCAATATTTAGCACGAAAACAAAACAGTTTGTTTCCTTAAATGGCATTAGGAAGGGAGGTAATAAAATATAATTTTTCAATATATATAGGAAAGGAATCTACACTTTCACCGTGCTTCCTTGAAAATTGCCAAAAACAAAATCGGAATAGGCACAGAAGTGTCACTAGAAAAAACAACTCCATTTTCATTTGGCCCTACCCTAATATTTTTCGGCTCTATAAGAAAAAAAAAAAGAAAAAACAATCTCAAAGCCTGGAAACCTGCTTTTGTGATACTCTGTAAAATCTGTTTGGCCCAGGACTAGGAATTGATTTTCAGCAACACTAGTCATTCGAGCTAGTAGTTTCCAATTTCAATAGTCCATGTGCAAATTCCACTAACCTATTATTATTCAACATGCAAAGTAATATCACATTTTGACTAGTCAATCAGACTAGTGGTGTTATGTATTCACCCAGAAAAAGCACTGAAATCAGTGACATGATATACAATATTTGTTTACCTGTATGTGTCTTGTTAATGATCGCATCCTTTTGTCTTGTAGAAAACTTGTCTGGACACGACAAGTTCTGTCCACCCCCCAAACTAGCAGCTGATACCACAAGTTAGAGATCACATCTTCCAATTTACAGAAAGGGACAAAAGCCAGACCATTTTCCAGCTCAACTCGTCGCTTAGCAACAAGTTGATGTACAACAAAGAATGGAATCCAAAATCCGTCTTTATTATCTCCTGACAGATATTTCTGCACAATCAGTTTCCATCTTGGTTCTGTAGCTGTGATCTTTCTAAAAATGTCTCGGATGTGTTTAAGTTTTTCAAAGTCAAGCGCAGATGGAATTAAGTAATTGTGTTGCACCTTTTGGAGATGAGAATCTGCTTTTTTCAATGATTTAGTCAATTCATCCTCCGACATGCACTGAAATCTGAATTTGAATAGTTGACTTTCTGCTTTCAATAAAAATCCCTTGGTGTCATGATCCTGGCACAGAATCAGCCTAAAAACCAAAAGAAAATCATTTTTAAGCTAAAAGAAGAAACTACATGTATATATCAAATTACTGAACTGTGCTGATACAATACTCTAACTCATAATTCACTGTGGTTAAAATAACATACAATGTAGAAGTTTAAAGGTGCGCTTAAGTTAGGTTGCCTTACAAGTGTCAGCTGTAGGGAATTTCCCCTTAGCTCAGCAATAGACCATCGGGCTGGAAAGAGTACCTACTGTGACCAATAACACACTCAAGCCTCCATGCGTAGTCAACACCTTACGATGCCCGACTACCTATAATTCTAGTGTTGGTTGGCGACACCCTAGTCGCTGACCACAGACCGTCAACACTAGCGATGTCACTGACCTAGTCATTGTTAAATAAGTATTATAGCAACTATCCATCGACAGAACTATACCCATCGAATTTGGGTTGACGGTAGCTAATATAATGGCGATGTGGGACTTGGGCACCTGAGCGTGCAACACACGTTGGGATTATGCCCTAGACCCGACTCGTCCTATTACATACGTTTCGATATAAACGTTACAATGATGACGAACAAGTGTTGGACAAGCTTACCTGAGGATGAAGTGTGACACTACGTCCTTTGTGCTTCCGTCAAGTAAACAATCTGACTCAGCAACCGTCAGAAAATCTGTCACTGTATCCTGCAATTTTAGCTTATCGCCGCCACAGCTAGTAATTTTGAGAAGAAAATCCAGTCTCGTGCGTGCAAACTTTTCTAAATGTTGTAATGAAATATTTCCGGAGGGTGGATTTAAGTAGAAAGTCATTTTTCAGACAGAAATTCGTCATTTTAAAGGAGAGTTATACTTAATGTACAAAGCGAAACTAGCATTGCCGCCATTTGCCTATTTTCTGATCTTCCACGAAAAAGAGTTCCGCGAAGCATTTTTCGCGGGAAATATATAAAATTGATATGTCCGTAAAGCAAAGAATGTGAATGGAATAATCTATATTCAAATTAGACGGTCACATTCGACAAATTTTAAAAATGAGTAACTGAAACTTTTTATATTTATATATTTTCATCATTTAAAAGTCTATATTTTTATGTCACTATATTCTTATGTAATTGTGGTCTAAACTCATGTCCATAATGTGCGTATTTATTTCCATGTCAGATTAATAAACTACCTGAATTTTATATTTCTGTGTCTGTGTTTATTTGCCAAATATTTCAATTATATCAGACTGTAGGACCCTGACGGACCCAAGATCATCGAACATGGGTGTTGGTTTTGAAGTGAAAATCGACCCTTTTAAGTAATAATAATAACAATAACTCGAGGTTCTTTTATACTGCTTTATCACAACTGTGGTATTAATGTCTATTGTATATATTCAGTCAGGTAAAGGGACATAACTCGTCCATACTTGCCATCTGTTATATGTGGAACTCTCCAATGTGAAGTTAATAAAATATGTTGAGTGTAATGGAACACATGTGTTGACTGGATCTAATATGTACAAGAACGAATCAGGTTCAATCCGGGGATGGGCAAGTCATCCAAACATATGAAGCACGTTAGATGCTACAATTGGCGACGAGGATAAAAACTGTATACATTTAATTGGTTAAAATGGCGACATACATGGAAATTGGAGGTATTCCAAATTTTGATTGCCACGGAGATTCGTCCGCCATTTCTCAACGATGGAGAAAGTGGAAAAGGGCATTCGAACTGTTTGTTGTGGGCAAGGGTATAACAGATCTTACACAGAAAAGGGCGTTGTTACTCCATTGTGCCGGGATGAGAGTGCAGGAAATATTTGACACACTCGCGGACACAGGAGAAGATACAGATTACGACAAGGCTGTACAGAAGCTGGGAGAGTACTTCGCGCCACAAGGAAACATTTCATTCGAGAGACACCAGTTTCGGCAACTCAAACAGGAGTCTAGTGAGTCAGTTGAACAATTTATAACGAGGTTACGCGATAAAGCCATGACATGTGAATTCGGAGATGGTAAAGACGACCAGATCCGTGATCAGGTTATCGACAAGTGTAAGTCGACACATCTACGGAAGAAATTTCTGGAAAAGGGAGGAACATTGACCCTCACAAAAATGCTGGAAATGGGTAGAGCGCATGAAGCAGCAGAGAGACAGGCAGCAGTAATGCAGGAAGAAACTGTACACGCAGTTTATGAGAAAAGGAAAGGACACAAACCAGGTTACCAGGGGGCTGACCGTTTCAATACAAGTAGTCAAGGTAACAAATCTCAAGCATGCTTCCGGTGTGGGAGACAGGGACACTATTCAAAAGATAAGGAATGTCCAGCCAGGAATAAGAAATGCAATAAATGTCATAAAATGGGACATTTCCAGAAGTGTTGTAAGACAAAGGGAGGTAATCCAGGGAATGGCCGATCACAGGAACGTACGGTGAAATATGTACAAGATCAGGATTCGGTTGAGTTAACTGACTACGTTTTTAGTGTTGTTAAAGAACCAGTTGGAGAACAGGTTAGTGTGATAGTTGGAGGTGTGCCAATATCATTTACTGTTGATTCAGGTGCAGGTGTTAATATGATAGACCGAGAACTCTGGGAAAGTCTGAAAAAGTCAAAGATAAACTGTGTAAGTAACAATACTGACAAGAAATTGTTTGCTTATGGAAGTACCAAGCCACTGCCTTTAGCAGGATGTTTTGAGGCTGATGTCATACTTGGAAACAAGATGGTACCTAGGGTGATGTTTTATGTTTTGGAGGGAACAGGCCAACCACTACTAGGCAAGATGACTGCTATAGAATTAGGAGTTCTACATGTGGGTACTGGGCACATTAATTCCGTTGAACATGATATCAGTAAGGCTGAACTTATGAAGAAATACCCTGAATGTTTCACAGGAATTGGGAAATTGAAAGACTATCAAATGACTATAGCACTGGACGACACAGTTACGCCAGTTATTCAACCATTGCGGCGTATACCCTACCATTTACGTGACCGACTTGAGAGCAAAATACACGAGCTGGAGTCATTAGACATTATTGAGAAAGTCGAGGAACCCAGTGCATGGGTAAGTCCAGTTGTTATTATTCCCAAGTCAAACGGGGATATTAGACTTTGTGTTGACATGCGAAGGGCCAATGAAGCTGTAATTCGTGAACGGTATCCGATACCAACTGTAGATGAAATACTACAGGACCTGAATCAGAGCAAGGTTTTTTCAAAACTTGATATTCGCTGGGCGTATCACCAGATTGAGCTAGCCCCAGAGTCACGTGGTATTACAACATTCCAAACTCACTTAGGCATGTATCGGTATAAACGACTAATGTTCGGGATCAGCTGTGCCCCTGAGCTCTACAACAAAATCATACAACAGGTTCTGAGAGAGTGTCCAGGTGTCAACAGTATATTTGACGACATTGTTGTTCACGGAGAAACACAGGGTGAGCACAACAAAAACTTGGACAAACTGTTACAAACCTTACGTGAGAAGGGCTTGACATTGAATTTGGACAAATGTCAATTTAATATGTCACAGATTACATTCATGGGACATGTACTTTCAGAGCATGGAATCAGTCTCGACGAGGACAAAGTCAAAGCGGTCGTGAACGCGAGACAACCTTCAAATGCTGGAGAAGTAAGAAGTTTCCTAGGCCTAGTCAATTTTAGCTCCAGATTCTTACCCAACCTGGCAACTGTATCTGAACCCTTACGACAGTTAACCCGAAAGGATGCACCATTCAATTGGGGTCCAACTCAGGAACAGTCTTTTAAGAAACTTAAGACGATGTTGTCAAATGCATGTGTTTTGGGATATTTTGACCCAAAAGCCAAGACGCAGGTTATCGCTGACGCGTCACCTGTGGGATTAGGAGGAGTGCTAGTACAGGAGCAGGACAATCACACACGTGTAATTTGTTACGCGAGCCGTAGTTTGACAGACATTGAGCGGAAATATTCACAAACCGAGAAGGAGGCCTTAGGACTGGTCTGGGCATGCGAAAGGTTCCATATGTACCTATATGGACAGGAATTTGAACTTGTTACAGATCACAAACCTCTACAGTTCATTTTCTCACAGAAATCCAAACCCTGTGCTCGTGTAGAACGCTGGATTTTGCGGCTACAGTCCTATACCTATACTGTCAAGTATATACCTGGATCTCAAAACATCGCAGATTGTTTGTCTAGATTGATTTCAAAGTCTTCTGATGGACCATCACATCATGATACTGAGACCTACATCAAGCAAATTGCAGAGTACTCAACTCCAGTTGCTATGACAACACGCGAAATCGAACGCGCCTCGGATAATGACCCG